GCCGTTGCCAGTGACTCACAGCAGCCCAGCTCCAGGTCGAGCTGTTGTTCACCATCTTAGCTGTAAAGGGTAGTGTCACTGGCCCTCATGTGGGATCCAAACCGGGGCCCTACTGCTCAGAGCTGGCACTCCCAAGCCAACTCTTAACCAATGCGCCACTCAGCCGGCCCCTTTCCTGATTTCTTAATTAAACAGAATTGAACTTTGATTTGTAGCCTGAGTACTCACAGAGAAGAGGGTGGAATGAGGAAACTCCTTGAAAGTGATTAAGTTCATGTATTACACTGGGGCATTCTGCTGAGGCGCAATGCACCCTATAACCGAATGTGTAAATTCTATGAAAATCGGGGGTATGAACCTATAATTAAGAGTTGACAATTATACATTATGCGAATACATGAACATACACCAAACTGTGTAATTTAATTTATAGCTCTACTGAGAGTTTTATTAAATAAAGGAAGGATCAAGGCTAGAAGGTAGTGAGAAATTCAAATGGGGCTCAAGATAAAACTTGTTCATTTGTAGTTTTGCGTATGATCCTGATTATGGCAGTAACACTGACCTGCCTCTAAATGTCTTTTTTATTTGCCACCCGCCTCCACCCCCTCCCTACCCCTGCCAAGAAAGTAGGTGCCTGATGTACCCTGTAAATGGGAAGAGGAAATATAGCACATCACATGATTTGTCAACAAATTCTTGTATTCTGTGTATCCCAGGTCCTACAGAAGTGATATATCAGAAGATACACGGTCTCTTAAGAAAACTGAGCTCTTAGAAGGCAAGGAACTGAGCAGGGTTCTGTTTGGAGCCTAAACTATTATGGGCTTTCTGAGGAAGCACAAAGTTCTGTGACAAGTAAGGAAGGGCAGTAAACTCCAAGATGGTGCCAGTGACCAAGGCTTTAGACCAGCTGAGAGCTCAGAACCAATAAGAATGAGCCTATTGCTATTTGATTAGTAGGGACAAGTTAATAAAATAGCTGGAAGAATACACAGAGAGGATGTAAAAGAGGGGTCTGAGGGAAGGTAAGAGGATTAAAGCTGCAAAAACATTCCACTAATGGATTTCTCAAACACACAAGCCAACAGGCAAGGGCAGGTGTCCTGTCAAACCATTTCCCCATGAAACCTGATCCATCATTCTTCCTGGAGGCCTGCTAACTCCATTTGTAACTGAAGGGCCTGCCCGATTCCCAGCAGTCTTCCTGAGCATCCCAGGGACTGGCCAGGAAACTGGCTTTGCAGACAAAGGGGCCTGGGAACAGGCTGGTTTCCTTCACATGCAGCCAACTGGATCTCTGCATCTGCCTGGCCTGGTGGCTGATGAGGCTGTTATTGATCAGGAAGTCTCCACCCTCTCTTGCCTCCTTCCTGCTCCAAAAACACTAGAAAGGGGGTGCTCTGATTTTCAAATCATTCATCACTTCATTACTCTGCCTTTGATCCCTTAGTGAAACTCAACTTTTGCTCCAGCAGCCAAATAATCGGGAGTTTGTCTAGTGAAGCAACAGCTAAGGCTTAAGCTTAGGTGGCACAAGGAGGGGACAGGGCCAAGGACCAAACTGCTGCTTAGTTGTTTTGAAGCCAGGAAGGCTCGCCTGCCAGTCGGCCCTTGTGGGAAGCTGGGTGCCCAGCTGGGGTGTCCTTGGTCCTGCCCACATGGGCTGTTGTGCACATGTTGGCATAAGAACAGAGGAGAGGGGCTGTCTGGCCACATGGCTGACCGGTGCCCGCCTTTGTGCCTCTCCCACTGCACAGCCTTCTGTCTCCAGTGCAGCAGTTGTCAGAGGTGCAGAAGAAACCAAGAGAGGTTTAAGGGGGGCAGGGGGGGGGCATAGTGCTTCTAGTATTGGTTGGGTGAGGTGGGTACATGGAGGAGTGCATGCTCCCCGCCTGGATAAGCCCTCAATTACGATGGGGCAGGAGCCCGGAGCCATTAAGATAGACACGGCATTCCGGTGCCAAACTCTTTTCAGTTGCTCACATCTTTCTTGCAAAATGATCTGTTAGGTTTAAGTATATTCTTGCTTGAGGCACATTTCCTTGGAATGAGGTAAAGAAAAGGAGGAGGGTGGGGAAAAATAATTCTTGGTGTAGTTTTAGATTTATCATCAGACCGTTGAAGAGAGTGCTTCTCAGTGGTAGAGGAATTTTCCAGAAGCCCCTGAGCTCACAACGCTCACAGCTCACGTAGAGGGGAGCCTCCTGACTTGGCAGGTACTGTGTGCACTGTGCTGAGGAGGATTAAAGCCTTTGGGCTGTTAAGTGCATTGCTTTTGAGTGCAGTTAGCAATATTTACCTCAAACACATTGAGCACAGGTAATCCACCCTTTCCCATAGTCCTTATCTTCCTCTTCTCTGAAAGAAAATGCATTCGATGTTTTGGCTGAGAGGCTTTTTTTTTTTTTTTGTGGGGCTCAGTATAAAATGAAAATGCAGGGTCCCTTGTTCAAACATTATTAAAAATTTCAAGATGATGACAGCAAAGCATTAAACCAAGCACTGGCCCCTTCCAAGCAAGGAGCCCTGTGCCACTGCATAGGTTGCACGCCCATAACATGGGTCTTGGGTTCAGCCTTACAAACTGTTCAATTCAACAAGGATATAGAGGGCATTTGCTATATCCTAAATACTGTGCAGCACCTCAGTACAAGCTCGGGGTGGGGAGTGTGGAGTGCAAAATTAATGGGCTGCCCATTAGGAATTAACAATTCAGTTAGGGTCAGATATCACACACAAAAAATTAAATAATGACAAGAGAATTCTTTAAAAGCCCAGAAGGCCTTACACCCACTCAAAGGAAGGAATTCATGAGAGAGCTCGCCTTGACCCACAGGCATCACTTGGTCAGCCGGGCAAGTGAAATGGGGCAGTAGAAATGAATCAGGCAGGCTGTCACTGTTTTTGCCACACCACTCCACGAACACCATGTATTTCTTACTCTACATTTATTAGAACCCAGATGTAACCCCTCAAGAAACATTCTATTTTCAAAATAGCCACACTTAGGCAGAAGGTTGGCCACACTTGGATAATAGGTTCCTATAGAATTTGTTACGCTTGGCCCTTATCCTTGAGTTCACAATGTAGACCAAACTCAACTAGCAAACCTGAGTTCAAACAACATAAATGGGCATCTTGTCCCTGATTGAGGGGCCCAACTCCAAGGTAGTCATTCAGTCAGCCAACATTTACTGAGCGTCTGCGTGGGCCAGGCCCTGGGTTAGGTTCAGAAGACATACAGAGGGTGCCAAAAACATGTATACACATTATAGAAAGGAAAAAAACTGTATTAAAATTGTAATAGTATATACCAATAACAAAAGATGAATACAAGTCACGTTTGACTTCTACAATTACAAGAGGTGCTCAAAGTGGTTACCATCAGTGTCCAGACATTTTTGATTACGGCGAACTACTGCTTGAGCAACGTTGACCAAAGTGTCCACTTGTATACATTTTTTTGGCACCTTGGTTTGTGTGTGTGTGTGTGTGTGTGTGTGTGTGTGTGTGTACATGTATGTATAAATTTATGTATATGAAGAAGATTTGGTCCCTGCTCCTAAAAAGTTCACAATCCGATATTGTAACCAAAGGGACAATGATCCTCTCATTAAAACAAAAGGGCTCTCCTGCCCTGCCCGGGCTTCACTAAGAGCTTCTGGAAAGTTCTATTAATGGGAACCTCTGACCTCACTGAGGGCCTCGATCACCAGGCTCTCCTTTGGTGACAGTCGTTTGTTTTTGGTCATTTTCTGTGAGAAGCCTGATTCCCCCCTGCTCCTGTTGCCTTCTCTGGGTCTCCAGTGGAAACAGCAGCACAGGCAGGCGGGGTCTTGCCCTGGAATTGCAGTAAGCTCTAATGGTATCAGTTCTCAGGTGCTGAACAGAATTTGGCATGGTCAGCATTCGGTGAGGGTGCCTCCAGGGTTTTTCTAGGTACATTTATGAAGAGAATGTCAGTAAATATTTTCATCTCTCTTATCTGACTTTCCATTAATTTTATTTCCTCTCTTCAGTTAAATTCAGCTGCAATTCTGAAACCCAAATATGGAATGTGGTTTTGTTACACAAATGGCCCATTTTGTTCAGCAATATTAGTGATTTGGCTCCTACAAAGAGTGTTGTGTTGTTTGGACTGTTGGATGGTTTGGGAAACATCCTGCTTTTGTTCCAGATGGATCTCCATCCTCTCCTGGTTTAGATCCTGGTCTTCCTGCCACCCTGCCAAGACAGGAAAGATGGCCATCATGCTTCCAGAGACTGAAGCCTGGTGTCAGGACCCTTGGCTCGCCCAATATCCACTGCCATTAAGCCACACCAGGGAGATCCCTCTTTACCTTAGACAACCCTTAGGGAATCCACAGATCCCCACCTCACCCCTAAGAAAGGATTATCCTTTCTGGATGAAGGATTATAATGTAGAGTATAGCTCCTGGGTAGCAGGAATCAGCCTTCTGGTTATAACCATGGTTGGCAATTGAGTGGAATCTCAGGCCTGTCACTTTTCACTGTGGATGTCTGAGAATAACTGGCGCAAGCTGTTCTTGATTGAACTGGAGAAAAGACATCAGCATTCTCCTTTCATTGTTCCCTTCAGTCTCCATTAGCTAAGCTGTGCCAGGACATTTGTGCCTTGACCATGACCTGGTTCAGTAGGGCCAATGGAGCTGGCCAACTCCTTTTGTGTCGCAGTGTAACAGAAGAGGCTGGTCTGCATTACAGGCACCTCTTGGTGGAATTCTCTATACCCACCCCAACGCTGCAGCTTACATATACCAAATTGAAGTCCCATGCAGTGATGAGGGCCACACATTCCGTCCTATAAACTCCCATAGACAACAGGCTAGAGGAAGGACTTGGAGGACCCCCAGTGAGTGAGGTTCTGCAGCTGTGTGTTGTGACTACACACACCAAGACACAAGATGCAAGCCACCCTGAAACATAGCATGTCTCCTCCATCGAGGCTCAGCCAACACCTTCTCTTCTCTCCACAGATCTCCAGGACTTCAAGTTAGATGTGCAGCATGTGATTGAAGTAGATGAAGGGAACACAGCAGTCATTGCCTGCCACCTTCCTGAGAGCCACCCAAAAGCCCAGGTCCGATACAGCGTCAAACAAGAGTGGCTGGAGGCATCCAGAGGTGAGTGAGCAGGCAGGGGACCACAGGCCAAGACCAGCAGGGAAGCCGGCCATCTCTGACCACTGTCCCCCAAATCCCCATCAACACGTGATAGTCCCCTCCTCATGCTGCTCAGCCGTCTTTGACCTTGATATTTAGCCTCGTAGGGTCCTAGAGAGATTGGCTTCCTTTATGGGGTCTTCTGCTCTGTCATGAGGCATTTCTTCATCCTTTGAAGCCCTGGAAGATGTTGCTGAGCTGCCACAGTTGATCAGGGCTCTCAGCACAGGGTTCCAGATCCCCTCTCCATGTGGGCTCCCAGCCACCAGGCACACACAGAAAGGCTGCCTGATGAACCCAGCCGTTCCTGCAGCTGCCGGATTCCCTGGTGGGAGGTGTGGAGCTCATCCCCACACAGCAGAGCATTCTTTCTAGTGGAACTTGAGTTTTTCCCTCTTTCCATTTTCCTGGAAATGCAGCTGTCTCAGCTATTACAGCTTCCTGCTCAGGCCACAGTGGGTATGACAGCTGGTCCAGGGGAGGCCAAGCTTTGGTCGAAAGAGTGCCAGTGGGGAGAGGGCATGTCTCTCAAGACATAGCTTCATCCACAACTGACCCTGCACTCAAGGCCAAGTGGAACCTACTTGTCTGAAGCCCACAGCTCAAAATATACCTTTCAAAATAGGCTATAGATTTTTAAATATTTTGATTAACTTTTTCTGGTTATGAAAGAAATATATGTTCATGTAGAAAATACAGAAAACTATTTTTGAAAGGGTAAAAAGCCTAATCCTGCCCCTCGGAAGTGACTGGAGACTGAGCGAACAGCATTGATCCCCACAGACACTGGGCAGCAGTCTCTAGAGGAGGCATGCCCATTCCACAAAGCTCGAGGGCTTTCCCATCCTGTCTGGCATTTGCCTAAGTAGCTCATCCCTGGGGCAGCCCAGGGGCAGGCAGGTAGGCAGGCACCAGGATCAGTGAGCGCAGAGAACAGGGACACCACAACTCCCAGGGCAGGCCACCAGAGAGCTCAGAGCTGGTGGCCAGTCCTTTGCCTGCCAGCAAGCCCCATCCCAGTCACTGGGGTATCCAGCAGCTGTGAATCTGTCTCCTGTTGAAAGAAGCTGCACACAGCCTTGGGGTCCCAGCCTCCTGGCACCCCTGACCCAGAAGCAGACACAGCCTAGCAGGCTAGTGGTACAGAGGGAAGGGCTTCCGAGGCATTCATGGAGAAGGCAGCGATTGGCAGTTACAATATTCCTCCCTGGCTGCAGATGTTTAGTAGCGAGGTGGCTCAGAGCTGAGACCATGACAGAGACTGATGGGAGGTTCTAAAGTCAGATTCCCTTCCTCCTGGTGGCTTGTGGGCATGCTCATCTCATCTCCCATGCATGCAGCACAGGACCCTGACTCCTTACAATGGTTCTGAAACAGCACACCTTATGCCATTTTAGATATGAGGAAACAGGATCTGCGAGGTTAATTGCCTTGCTCAAGATCACACAGTTAGCAGGTCCAGAGCTTGAGTCCAGGCCTGGAGGACCCCAAATCCTGCTGCCTTTCTACCCTATCCCGGCTCCCTTGTAAATATAAAATGCTTTTCCACAGACCTATGTACTAACTCTGGGGAGTTAGTTAGTTGGCTGGTTAGTTTCATTCCCCGGGTGCAAGGCCTTATGGGAAGAATAGCATTTTTCGTTTGGGCTTGTTGGGACTCAGGTGTACAACTCCTGCCCTACCTGTCCCCACCCCTACCTTTGTGGGAGCTGGTGGGTGCAGTATTCTAGGCCCAAACTCATCCCATGTTCCCCTCCCCTGTTCTTCCCTCAGATAACTACCTGATCATGCCATCAGGGAACCTCCAGATTGTGAACGCCAGCCAGGAGGACGAGGGGATGTACAAGTGTGCCGCCTACAATCCAGTGACTCAGGAAGTGAAAACCTCGGGCTCCAGTGACAGGCTGCGCGTGCGCCGTAAGGGGCGGGGTCTTGCTACTGGAAGAGGGGACCTGGGGGTGCCACAGCCCATGCTCCAAGCTTTGTGCTCTCCAAGGTGGGAGTGAAGGTCGTTGGGCTTGGGCTACTGGGACATTGAAGACTAAGGACTCAGCCAGGGTGGGGGGGTCCTGCCCCTCCAGCCAGCCCAAGTGCAGCCTCTCAAAACTCTCTGCCCTCTCGCTTGGCTCAAGGGTATGGCTGTGCTTCCTGGTTACATCGTAGCCTTGTGGAAGACACCCCCTTCCTCCTGCCTCCTGAGAGCTTTCTTCACTGTGTTACTTTCAGAATGGGAGATCAGTTGGAATGTGTAGGCTGCGGCGGGGGGCTCTGGGTCTCCAGTGGAAACAGCAGCACAGGCAGGCGGGGTCTTGCCCTGGAATTGCAGTAAGCTCTAATGGTATCAGTTCTCAGGTGCTGAACNGGCACTCAGCTGCTGACAGCATATGCTTAGAAAAGATGATGGTGCATTTGTGCCTATGTGAGGCCATCAGGCCTGCCTTGTATGCGACCAGGCTAAACCTACTCTACCTGCACTGCTGCAGTATGCCCAGCACCTCCCTCTGGTGAATATCTGTGGAGTCCCAAAGACTCCCGTTTATATGAAAACAGCAGCTACCTTTGTTGAGTAACTCTCATGCACCAGGCACTTTGCTGGGCTCCTTGCGTATTCAGCGGAGGGACATCATACATGGAGGTTGGTTTTTGAGTCAGCACCAGAGGCGGATTTACTTTGAAGTTAATGAAGCAAAACTTCAGTGGCCCCTCACTCGCTTCATTCTGTATCTGTAATTTTGTATTCCATATTCTTAAAGAGGGCCTCCCAAGCTGTATGAGTGTCAGGTCTTATAAAGCCTGGATCTGTCCCTGGTTGTCACATGAAGCAAAATCACACATAGTCAACATGCTCCTTGAAGGTCCCCGAGGAAGACTGCGCATTCGAGGGCAATACGCCTTTCAATAGTTTTATGTGGTCTCTCCCCGAGCATTAAAAAAAAGATTGCTGCTTCCTCAGCTGTGCACCCAATAAAGTAGTTGATTTACTTTGGGGGATCTCCCAATATGAGAAATGTATATCTTTAAAGAAGAAGTCCTGCTCAGTAAGACGCTTACTGTGAGATGCTCATACTGTGGGAGATACTTGGGAACTGAGACCCATGGTGGGGCTTAGGGGATCCTTATCTCCCATCTCATCCTCAGTCTCAGAGTGCACTTATGGATTGAAAGCAAGAAAAATCACTGCACCATTTAAGTTCCTCTGTCCACCCTCTCATCTTTCTCTCTCTCTGCCAACACACACAGTTTACCTGTGCATATGCTGTGTTGACGATGCTATACTCCATTTCTCTCTCATTTCTTATAACAGCTCTCTGCAGAAAGCAGTCCCATAAGGAACCCAAGGCCCAGGGGAATTAAGTAACTTGCCCCATTTAGGTTGTTAAGCCCCTGAAGGCTGTTTGATTCCAAATCCATGCTTTCTGGGACTGCCTCCTGGGGCCGGGTCACCCAAGGTGGGATGGAGGAGACCCTCTGTGCAAAATCCTGGTCCCATATGCTGTCCTTCCCCTCCTCGCCACTCCAGGCTCCACTGCCGAGGCTGCCCGCATCATCTACCCCCCAGAGGCCCAGACCATCATTGTCACCAAAGGCCAGAGTCTCATCCTGGAGTGTGTGGCCAGTGGGATCCCACCCCCACGCGTCACCTGGGCCAAGGATGGGTCCAGTGTCGCTGGCTACAACAAGACGCGCTTCCTGCTGAGCAACCTCCTCATCGATACCACCAGTGAGGAGGACTCGGGGACCTACCGCTGCATGGCTGACAACGGGGTGGGAGAGCCTGGGGCAGCGGTCATCCTCTACAATGTCCAGGTGTTCGGTAAGTGTCCCCCGCAGACCTCCTTGGTCTTTGGTCTACAGGGCCTTTCTAGAAGGTGATAACCCCAGGTTCAGACAAGTTCCTGTGCCATGGGAGAGGTCATGTGCCGAGTGAGTGATGGAGGAGTACTGAGAAGGGCAGAGCTCCTTGGATCCCGGGGACTAGGGTGTGCTGGCCTGGCAGCCCTCTCTGTGCCTGGCAGTCACTGTCGTGACTGACAGAGGCGTGGGACCTTTCCTTCCCTCTACCAACAGCTACAGGGAAGGAGGGAGCCTTCCCTGACCGCAGTCCCCTCCCCAGCCTGTCTGGCCCTGGATGGGAAGACACAGCCTCTCTCATCCCTGCTTTGGTTTCCCGGCAGAACCCCCTGAGGTCACTGTGGAGCTGTCCCAGTTGGTCATCCCATGGGGCCAGAGTGCCAAGCTCACCTGTGATGTGCGAGGGAACCCCCCACCGTCCGTGCTGTGGCTGAGGAATGCTGTGCCCCTCACCTCCAGCCAGCGCCTCCGACTGTCCCGTAGGGCCCTGCGGGTGGTCAGCGTGGGGCCTGAGGACGAAGGCGTCTACCAGTGCATGGCTGAGAATGAAGTCGGGAGCGCCCATGCTGTGGTCCAGCTGAGGACTGCCAGGCCAGGTGAGAGTGCAGCCCGAGGGCTGAGATTCCAGCTGAATATTCACAGAGCCCTTTTCTCAGATGAAATCCAAAATAGAACCCCAATATATAAAATGGATAAAAGTGGCTCTTAGTTGTAAGTTCAAATTTACATTAACTTAGTAAAAAGTCAGAAGTGCTTGTTTTCACTAGTAAAAATGACCAATTTAACTGTTGTATTTTTAAAAATGCCTTTTAATGATTTTGCAGAATCTGTGGGTTCATCAGGTTCCATGGAACCCAGTCTGACAACCACTGCTCTAGCTGAAAGAAAAGCAAGTGTGTCCTTGTCAGTTTGATCCACTTCCATTGACACCTGTACCGACTGAGCAGTTACTATTGTATGTGCTCAGCACTGGGCTAGGTAATGTGGGGAATGCAGAGAAACATAACAAAGAATTTTCTCATGGAGGAGATAAAATTTTCCAAGGAAATAATTTGAGAAAAATACAGTGACGAATAATGAAATGCAGAATCACCATTATGAGATGCCAACCTCCTATGGTGCAGGAGGTCAGGTAGAGGAAAAACTAGTGTTGGCAGAGTCCGTGGATGCTTCCGGAAGGAAATGTCGCCTCTCCTGGCCTCTCAGGTTCTCAGAGGGCATTTACAGTTGGCTTTGCGTCTCATATTCCAGGTCAGTGCAGTGGAGTAGGAAAAGGCCCACACTGTGCAATGGTGTTAAGATCTCACAGTGAAGGGCCATGCCCCTATCCCCAGCATTGGACATGAGACAGAGAGTATAGGGTTCCTGCACTTCAGGAGCAAGTGGAGATAGTTCACTGAAGACAAGGCCAGTGTGGAGGCTCAGGAAAGCAAGCGGGTTGCAGGGATGCTTGCCTGCCATGCCTGGGCCATCGCAAGAAGCCTGGGCATGGGACACCAGGCTGTCTTCCCTCCTGCATGGCAGCGGCATGGCCCTCTGTCTTCCCACAGAGCCTGGCCGTGTGTTGACTGGGCTGATGGTCATGTCAGGTCCCGAGCTGAGGGCTCTTTCTGTCCCAGCAGGTCTTTTTTTTTCTCCCCAGGGGCAACCACTCGGCAGGTGACCAGGGGGACTAACCCCTTCTTCCTTCCCTCCCTTCTCTTTCCTGCTTGGTCCTCCAGGCACGACCCCGAGGCCATGGCGGGATACTAAGCTGAACTCGGCCACACCTCCCATGCCACCCTCCAGACCCAGAAGCCCTGAGCAGATGCTGAGAGGGCACCCGGGGCTCCCGAGGCCTCTGACATCAGTGCAGCCGGCTTCCCTGCAGTGCCCTGGAGAGAAAGGCCAGGTGGCTCCTGCCGAGGCGCCCATCATCCTCAGCTCACCCCGGACCTCCAAGACGGACTCGTACGAGCTCGTGTGGCGGCCTCGGCACGAGGGTGGCAACCGGGCACCCATCCTCTACTATGTGGTGAAACACCGCAAGGTATGGTGCCTGGCGCTCTGCCCACCGTCTCAGGCCAGGTGGGGTCCCTTCCCACTGGCCATCTGCCCTTGAGCTCCTGAGGCCTAGGCCAGCAGTCCTTACTGCCGATCACAACCCTCTGTCTCCTTCAGTGTCTTTTCCTACCACCTCCCAGGAAGCTGGATGTGTTGGGCATTTGGAAAAAGCCATGTGTTTGCCGTTAGGTCTGAGCTCCATGCACTGGTTTCCCAGAAGCTACCACCACCAGCTCCGGGTCCCAGAGGAGAGCTACCAGAGCTACCAGGCTCTCCATTAGCCATCACCCGTTCTCTCCTCTTTCCTCTGTCATTTGCTCCTGATGTTGTTTTGTCTTTTAACCAAAGTAAGCTCCGCTGGGTACATACCTGCAGGAACTCTGGCATGGCGAGTGAGCTCTAGAGCCAGGAAGACAAATATTTGTGAACAAGTATTTTCTCTGAGGGCTGTAAAATACGCCCTCAGTTCTCAGGACTCATCATGGCTCGGGTTTGACAAGCAGGCATTTGAGTTGAAAACACATCAGGTTGTTCAGACCTTAGCTGTTTCTCCTTGACAGAAGGGAGTCTGTCCCGGCGAATGTTTTGAGAGCTGTCAAGGAAGGATTCTCTGGCTCTGTCAGGGTACAGGACAGAGCTGAAGCCAGCCTGTCCTTTTGGACAGTTTGTGCTGTGAGGCAGGACCCCCAGGCTGCCACCCATGTTCAAGGCTTCGCTCTCACTTGCTGTTACCCCTCAGGGGAAAAAAATACATAAAATTCCCTTTAGGAAAATGCCCGTGAAAACCGTTTCTGTTCATCCCAGATGCATGCCATTTTCTGTCGAAAGCCATTAGACAGTAGACAATTACTGTTCTTAAATAGATTTTTAAAAATCTTATTTGCCAAGTAAAAATGTATTATAAATGCTAGATTTTATTATGCATTCCTCATATTTTTGCTTATAAAAGTGCTATGTGCACTTTAGAAGAAAATGTGGAATATATGAATGTGGACCTAGAAGTATTTATCAACTCTTCTAACCCCTCCAAAAAAATGGACAAACGAAAAACAAAACCAGCCCTGTGCGGTGGAAAGTGCTGGCTGTGCAGAAGCGGTCTCCCCGGCCCTGCACCCTGGCAGGCTGTCTCATCCTGTTCCTTCCCTTTCCGTGCCCTCCTAGGAGACCTCAGGTCAGGACAAGTCCACAGAGACACTGGCTTTGTCAGAAAGACACCTAGAGCAATGCTGCCTCCTCGGTGGGGGCCGAGGCAGGACAGCTTCTCTTTAACCCTCAGCCTGCCGGCCTCTTCATAGCCTGCCAGCTAGGGGGTGAGGAGGTTTTTAACAACAAGTAGCATTGTTCAGCCCAGGTTATGGGGCAGGGCTGGTCCTCATCCTTATTTCCCCGTGTAACTGGACACCTCCACCTCAGAGCTGTAGACAAGAGATCAGGGCAGGCCAAATGCTCATGGTCCCCAGGAGACGAGAACCAGCATGAGAGCAAGACAAATATTTTTCAGGCCAATAGGTGGCCACAAAACTGCCTCGCCAAGAGGCAGGCTGGCAAAGGCCATGCATGGCGATCCGGAAATGCCAGGCGGAGGCCACCTTTACCCTCTCAGTGTGTGTGACAGTGACTAATTATCGGTCCATTTCTTATTTGCATTTCTGAGCCCAGTGGAAGTGGGAGGCCAGCGCTGGGAGGGTTGAGGGAGAAGGGGCACGGGGGAAGTGAGAGGACAGTGTCCCCACTGGGTCTGGCTTCCATTAGGCCCCAGTCGGTGGGGCACTATGGAGTTGTTAGGTGGACATTGTCAAGGCAGAAATTATGTCTTGAAAGCAGTTCCTTTCTGGAGGGACTAACATGTCTTAAAGATCATCATGTAAGAAAGGATTTGGAAATCAAAAATGAGCATTTGGGTTGTGTTTTTTCAGCCCCCCTCTCTTGCTGGAGACCAGGAATCCTTCAGTTCATTTTCCCTTTTTCACATGGTGAAGCAAGTTTCATTTCCTGATGCGGCTGCAGACCCTGGGCTACTGTGTTTGGGTTTCCAGCACCACTGGGGATTCTCAGTTTGTAAAAACGTCTCCCCCTGGAACAAATCCTGGAAGCCTGACATTAATGAGCCCAGACCATCCCTGTCCCTTGAATAGCAGGTTTTGTTCTGCTTTGGAATATTCTGCTCGGAGATAAGAGCTTTCCTACCAGCTGTTTAATTCCTTCAGCAGAGCAGAGCTTCGGTTTCCTGCAGGCTTTCTGAGATGTGCACAGTTGGTAGTTTAGTTTTCTGTCCTGAAAGATAGGGTAGGTGAGAAGCAGGAGCCTCTCAACATCGCCTTTTTGGGAAGCGTGGAGCTCTCTTTCTTTCTTTTTCTTTCTTTTTCTTTCTCTTTCTTTCTCTTTCTTTCTCTTTCTTTCTCTTTTTCTCTCTTTCTCTCTTTCTCTCTCTCTCTCTCTCTCTCTCTTTAAAAGAGCTAGGAATCTGAAGCCATTAATAATCCATAATCGTTACAATTCATCCACAGTTTTTAAGCTCTAAGCAAGGAATGCAGGCAGGATTAGGAAACGGAGGATTGAAATGGCAGAAATCTCACAGAGCTGAGGATGTGGGCCAATCAGGAAAGCGGCCAAGCATTTGTTGGGAACTTACTGTAAGCCAAGTTCAGAGCTCGACAGTACATACATCACCTCATTGAATCTTCAAAATAACCCAAGAGATTGTATTTACCTCATTTTACAAATGAAAAGTCTAGGGATCAGAGAGGTTAGGAAACTTGTTTAGAGTTACACAGCTGGTAAGAGACACAACCGGGATTTGAACCCAGGATTTTCTGGCTCCCAGATTTTTTTTCTTTCTAGGCTAGGTTATGATTATGAGCATGCGCTCATGTTTTCTTTGTCCACTAGTGATGTGGTCTTAGGTAAATTATGCATCTTTCTAAGTCTTAGTCTCCTCACTGGTGAAGTGGGAATAATGTTATCCCCGTCTCTTGAGCTGCTGTCATGAAAGCACTTCCTAATGCATATATAGTGCTTAGTTCCATGCCTAGCACATAGTAAACACTCGGCAAGTGTGGCCATTTCTACTGGTGCCATTTTTTATCCTCATTATCATCTCAGAGTATAAGCTGAAGGAACTGTGGTTGGTTTACATAGAGCAAGGAGAAAGAAAGTTAAATATGGAGGTTTTCAGAAAGAGAGAGAGAGGAGGTCTTTTGAGAAATTCTCAGCAATATCAATCAGGCCTTTCGACCCTCCCCACTGGGTTTTCTTTGATGGGAATCATTAGTTGAGGAATCAGGGAACCCGACTTCACTTTTCCAGGGAGGATGGATATCCCAGAGGCAGCAGAACCCGTCTGCTCTGCAACAGCCTCCCTCCCGCAACCTGACCCGTTCTCTTTTCCATCCTCCTGCCCTCCTGGGGTCAGTTCTGCTTTCCTTGCAGAGCTTCTGCTTTACCTTTTCCGGTAGCTCCAGGCTGAGGTGCAGGTCCTTACGCCACTCACCTTCTCCAGCAGGTCACAAACTCCTCTGACGACTGGATTATCTCTGGCATTCCGGCCAACCAGCACCGCCTAACCCTCACCAGACTGGACCCCGGGAGCTTATATGAAGTGGAGATGGCAGCTTACAACTGTGCAGGCGAAGGCCAGACGGCCATGGTCACCTTCCGAACTGGTACGGGTCAATCATTTCCCCTTGCTGGGGGTTTCCATGGGCCTGAGCAAATTCCACCAGGCCCAGGGGGGAGGCTCTGCTCACTTTGTCCCAGCTATTCACCTTGAACTTTCTCTTACTTCCATCTCCTGCCTCCCTATGGTTTGTATGCCCATGCTGAGATCCCTCCTCTCAGCAGAAGAGTCACCAGCTGGCCTCCCTGGCATCCCTTTGCCCACCCCTCCCTCAGGGTCCAGACACAATACCATCATAGGCAGGCAGAGCTGGGAATCAGACCACACTTCCAATGTCCCATAGTATGTGCATTGCCTTATCAGACCTCAGGCAGAAAGGACTCTGGAAAGGGAGACCTCATGCACATTCCCCCCTTACTCATCTCAACCCATTTCTACCCAGGACGGCGGCCCAAACCAGAAATCATGGCCAGCAAGGAACAGCAGATCCAGAGAGATGACCCAGGAGCCAGCCTCCAGAGCAGCAGCCAGCCGGACCATGGCCGTCTCTCCCGTAAGCCCCCAACAACCCAGAGGGGCGGGGGTGATAAGCAGTCAGAAATGGAACCAGGTCCACTGCCTTAAGGTTCCTTGGTGCAGGTGGGATGGAATCTTGGTTCTGTGGGTCCCGGAGTCCTTATGACTTTTCCTGGTATATCTCCAGTTAACCACAAGGAGGAAGTATAGATTGGAGCTTTTCAAATAGAACAGTGGAGTCTGACACCGGGGTTGCTGACCCTGTGGGTCCAGAGACAGTGGAGGGGAGAGCAGCCTGCCCTTGGCACTCCGTACTCTGACAGTACAGAAGTGTAGCTTTTAGAGGTCTTAGCTTAAGTGCGCCTCCAGGGAGAGGGCAGCCCAGGTAGCCCTAGGAAGATGGATGCAGCCAGCAGGATGGAGGGCTGTGGGAGGAGCAGGCCCCTGTGAGGAACAGGCCAAGTCCCATCACAATGTAACGGTTATCTTCTAATTGTGTCCCTTCCTCCTGCTTTCTTCCTCCCCGGTGCGTGGCTTCCCCCAGCCCCAGAAGCTCCAGACAGGCCCACTATCTCCATGGCCTCGGAGACATCCGTGTATGTGACCTGGATTCCCCGTGGGAATGGCGGCTTCCCAATCCAGTCCTTCCGTGTGGAGTACAAGAAGCTAAAGAAAGTGGGGGACTGGATTCTGGCCACCAGCGCCATCCCTCCCTCCCGGCTCTCGGTGGAGATCACAGGCTTAGAGAAAGGTAGGGGCCTGGCCACCATCCTACCTGGTCCCTCTGCTGCCCCTGGAGAATGGGAGCTTTGCAGGTTCGTCTCACGGCTCATCCTCCACCTGCCACTAGGCTCCCGTGGAGGCTCTTGAGGGTGTTACCTCAGTCCTACAATCGCTTCTCCTTCCCCTTCTCTCTACCTAAGAGGTCCACAGCCATTTCCCGGTGGGGCTTATTTCTGACGAGGGTGGGCGCTCTTGTGAGGCCTTCGGGGAAGGGCTGCCCGTAAGACTCCCTCCAGGTCTGAGGCCTGGATGGACTGTGGGGCAGTGGGAAGAAGGTGTTTCCCAGCGCCTCAGAGACTCAGTGAGTGTCTCTCTCACTAGGCACCTCCTACAAGTTCCGAGTCCGGGCTCTGAACATGCTGGGGGAGAGCGAGCCGAGCGCCCCCTCCCGGCCCTATGTGGTGTCGGGCTACAGTGGCCGCATATACGAGAGGCCCGTGGCAGGCCCTTACATCACCTTTACTGATGCGGTCAATGAGACCACCATCATGCTCAAGTGGATGGTAAGTGGCCTTGCACAGATTGTAACGGGAAGATGGGCTGAGGTTAGCGTTGGGCGGGAGCTGGCTGCCTGAAGCATAGGCAGGAAGGAACTACTTTTCTGCTTTCACTTAAGTGTTTCTCCACCTATGTACCTGGGCATTGGGCCAGAGAGACTCACCCTCACATACCCAGGCAGGTTCAGAGGGTACTCAAGGCTTTGGGAAATGGCAATTTGTTTCTTTTCTCCAAAGCTAGGGGACATCTTTTTTTTTTTTTTTTAAAGATTTTTATTGGGGAATTAGGGGGATAGGAACAGTGCTGGGGAATTGGGGGAAGGGGAACAGACAAGTTGCTGTCGTTTTGTTCTTCAATCTAGTTGTGGAGGATGTCGCTTCACTGGCCCAAGTTGGCACCATCATCGCGCTCTTCTCTGGCGAGGCAGATCAGTCGCCGGCTTCTGGACGGCCGCTCACTGCGGCTGCTGGCCGCTCACGCTGGCTGCTGGCTACACATGGTAGCCCATGGCAACCCACTGACACAGGGGCTGCAGCCTACGCAGTCGCCGGCGACTCCCGGCAGCCCAGCTCCAGGTTGAGCTGTTGTTCAGCATCTTAGCTGTAGAGGGCAGTGTCACTGGCCCTCATATGTGGGATCCGAACCGGGGCCCTCTGGCATCCCAAGCGAGTTCTTAACCATCGCGCCACTCGGCCGGCCCTAGGGGACATCTAAGCTAAATAAAGTAATGAAACTCTACAGCATCCTCCAGAGAACACTGGGAATATCGGAAATGTCTGCCAGGGTCCCCCAGTGAATTTTAACCTCTAGGCTGGGGTCAAATTTTCATCTCTCCGTGGTTCTGCTCACCTGATGATTTCTCTGCTTCATTGTCAACATGTTTCTTTTCCACTCCCTCATAGTATATTCCAGCAAGTAACAACAACACTCCAATCCACGGCTTTTATATCTATTATCGACCCACAGACAGTGACAATGATAGTGACTACAAGAAGGATATGGTGGAAGGTGAGAAACACTTTTGTGTGATTTAGTCTCCTCTGTTGGCAAGAGGGTCTTGGTGTTGGTGAAAGCATAAAACCTAGGCTGGTGTGACCCAAAGCATCGGTGCCCCATATCATGACTCCTTCATGACACTCCTGGGCTCATCAAGTTCACAAACCCACATGCTTCCTTATCATGGTGATGGGACAACAGGAACTTGGGTGGAAACCTAGAACATTTTCTCCAATGTCCTCCACAACATGACCCCCTGTGCCAGGCAGTGGCACCAGCCCACACACACAGCCCTGTCTGAGTCAGACTGCCACTGGGAGCCAAGCAATCCAGATACATATCCCCACTTGTGACTCTTGTTCTCTTTCCCAGGAGATCGATACTGGCACTCCATCAGCCACCTGCAGCCAGAGACGTCCTACGACATCAAGATGCAGTGCTTTAATGAGGGAGGGGAGAGCGAGTTCAGCAATGTGATGATCTGTGAAACCAAAGGTGATGCTCTTTGGATTCTCTGTTCTCCTCTGGAAATTTTCAGCAAACCAGGTCAAAGTCACTGTTCTGTGGGCCTTGCTGGGTATCTCTTCCCCAGGGAGACTCCTGATTTTCCAAGAACCCCTCAACTTTGTCATTTTTAACCCTTCTGTTCATTTGCCTGTGCCTCATATTAAGTATGAATGGGTTGCCCTCATGACGGCTACAAGGAACTTGGGAACTAACTCATATGTGAACTCAAGGAATAGAACCTATTCTTAGGCTGGGAGTTTTCTATAAACACTTTACTCCTATGATAACATTTGATGCTTATGTAATTTAACTACAACACCATGAGACAGGAAAGAAACTAAGCATCAGGAAATGATATCCCTTAACCAAGGTTATGCAGCCAGTTCGAGGCGGAGCATGCTTTGGGCCAAGTTCATCTGACTACAAGCCCAGACCCTTTCTCTGCACTAAAACACGTTAAACGTATTCACATAATAACTTGTTAATAGTTTCACATTGGTCAAGTGGATATATATCATTACCCCATTTTGCAAATACTGAAAGTGTACAAAGCAGATGTATTGCAAATCAGTAGACGATCACAGAGGAATAGGAATGGAGACAAGAAAACAACCCATTTTCCTGTCACTGGCAACACTCTCCAGCTTTGCACTGCTTCCCATCACTTATTCAACAAATACTGAGCGACCCCTGTTTGCACATCCTGCCCTCTTCTATCATGTACAGTGAAGTGAGGGGGCAGATACACACACAGCCAAAAATCAAGTGACACACACAGTGCAAAGAACAGAGACTTCAAAAAGGCTTCATAGTTCTGGAAGGATTGAATCTTCAGGCTGGACTGAGGAGGGAGTGGCCTGGAGTACCAGACCAGCCTGCAAGTAACTCCAGATGGTTGGAATGTATGGTGCCTGATAGGAAGATGAGAGAAGGAATGCTCAGGGAAGATGCCAGGGACATTGGTGGGCATTGGGTCGAGGACCCTCTGGGCTATGAGGTAGAGGAGGTTCACTGTTGGATCTGTTTGTCAGAAGGGTTACTGGTGACTATACAGGAGTGGCTGAGGGGAGAGAACTGGGGCTGTGAAGTAAAGGTAAAGGGATGGATTTGGGTCTCTTTTCTGAGGAAGTGTGTGAAGGACCAGGGACTGACAGCATATCAGGGCTGGGAGAAGGAGAAAGGCGTTCAAAGGAAACCTTGAATTTTCTAGCTTAAAGTACCACACAGGTGATGTTGCCACTTATGGAAATGGGGGAGGCCAGAAGAGAACCAGATCCTATGAGAAACAAACAAGGTAAAAGAGACTGACTAAATCTGATTCTTCTGAGACGTTGAAATGCAAGTTTCCCATGAGGGAAGTAGTTCTGCCTGGTGAGGGCCCTGAGTAGGGGTATTTGGCAGTCATTAGGATATAGGTTAGGCTATATCATGGGAACAGATGAGAGTACAGACCGAGAGGGACAGGAAGACCTCCCAGTATCTGAGGAGAAGACAGAAAAGAATGGGAAAAGAGAAATGAAGAAGCAGAAATCAGAGAAATAGCAGGGAAATTGTAAGCCTATAGTATCAAAGTCAAGGGGAAGACAGCTGTGAAGGTGAGTTAACAATGTCAGGGACTCCTTGATAATAGCAAAACCCAGATGAGGAGTTTACCATCTTAACTTGTCACCTTTGAATGGGTGTTTCACAATTACTGTCTGTCCCAGAGAGTCCCAACACCTATCTCCCTGCTCTGCGACCCACGCTCACACCTAGTACTTCATATCTCTTAATCCGCCCAGAAAGAACAAATTCGTGGGTAAATTCCTCCCACTCCCAGATCTGTCGCTGGTTTTATGCATTTTTAATATTTTCTTCCAAAAGTTCACCAGCTCTTCTTTCAGAAGAACCCCCACACCATTTATGCCCAGAAGACCCAGGCTGACTCTAAGGCGTGACTCACAGATATCTCAGGTTGCCTTTTAAATATAAAGTACAGTTCTCTTCAACACCACCAAATTTTATATTAGATGCCAACTTCATGCTGAGCTTGGACACTGCACGCATCTAATAAAGGGTTTTGAGGCCCTGTCTTGTGAGTTTGACCCATTTCCCACAGCCATGGAATCAGAATATTTTTTCTTGTTATTTGTTGAGAAAGAAATGTCAAACAGATGCTGATGTGAGTTTTGTTCACAATTACAGCTCGGAAGTCTTCAGGTCAGCCTGGTCGACTTCCACCCCCAACTCTGGCCCCACCTCAGCCGCCACCCCCTGAAACCATCGAGCGGCCAATGGGCACCGGGGCCATGGTGGCGCGCTCCAGTGACCTGCCCTACCTGATCGTTGGGGTCGTCCTGGGCTCTGTCGTCCTCATTATCGTCGCCTTCATCCCCTTCTGCTTGTGGAGGGCCTGGTCCAAGCAAAGTGAGTGAATGACCCTCCTCAGCACCGTGGAGGAGGAGCCTAGAGAGGGGAGGAGGGCCCCCCAGGCTCCCAAGGAGGGCAGGATCAGAGGCAGCGTGCTTCCTGTTCACTGGAGCTCAAGCTCCTGGGTCCCTGGAGGGCTGGGAGAGAGTCAGAGAATACTCCAAGATTGGGTCCTTTCCTCCAAGCTCATGGACCTCGGAAGATGGAGGGGAGTCTGAAGAAGTGGGCATTTGTCCTCTGTGCATCAGTACTTATCTGCCTCCAACTCCTTTTAATGTCTGCTCTAACGGCATGTTCATCCTCACCTGCCTCTCCCCTCCAAACATTTCCTACCTCTTTGGGTCCAGGGCTGCCTTGAGCTTTCCCCAGTATCCTGAGTTAATCTGACTGTTATTCACTCGTTTCTGCTTCAAATGGCAACACACCTGGCCAAGTTGCTTTGCCTAAATATTGCTCCTTCTGTTTGTTCACCACCTTCTTCACTTCGGTCCCTTGCCTCTGTATCTCCGCGCTCATCTCCCTATTGCAAAAAAAGTCTAGATGTTAGGAAGAAATGGGTGACAGGAAGAATATTCTGAGGGAGAATATTCTCGTCCCTGGGGCAGTGACACCTACCTACTTCATTTGACCTTATGGCTCAGAGTTTTCTGAGATTCATGTGGGACTTTTTTAAGCTGCCCCGGGACTCCTTGGCCTAAGCATATCTCTGTCCTTCTGTCCTTCCAGAACATACAACAGACCTGGGTTTTCCTCGAAGTGCCCTTCTGTCCTCCTCCTGCCAATACACTATGGTACCACTGGGAGGACTCCCAGGCCACCGAGCCAGTGGACAGCCCTACCTCAGTGGCACCAATGGACGGGTCTGCACCAATGGGGTACATGTGAACAGGGGCTGCCCAGCAACTGCAATGGGCTACGCAGGCGTGAAACCTCAGCAACACTGCCCAGGGGAGCTTCAGCAGGTAACAGTCCTGGGTGTGTGGGCAAGCAGGTACAGGCAGGCCACTATGGAGAGAGGGGCTGGGCTGCCTCCTGGGGCACCCTCTCTTTCAGCCTCTAATCCTGGGCTGCTAGCCAGGCTTTCGTTAGTCTGGAACAGCTCATCCTGCTGAAGAATGGGCAGGAGACTTTCCTGGACTCTCTGATATGACCTTTTTTGTTACTCTTTCTTTTGAGCAGCAGGATGACACCAACAGCCTGCTGAGGCAGACCGTTCTTGGCAATGGATATGACGTCCACAGTCACCAGATCCCAAGGTAACCAGGCCCTCCCAATCCCTGCCTTCCACTCCCAAGCCCCAGAGCTCACATGCTCTTTAGGTCCTCAAATCTAGCATCAGTCACGGAGAGGCGAGTGCCAGTGCTTCCCTCAGGGTCCCCACATCTGATAACCTATTCCACTGGACTCTTACCCTGGGGGTATTTGCAGTCAGGATTCCCTTTCTGCTCTGGAGCATGGGTTTGCTTCTCAATCCTCCCCTCACTTGGCAGGCCAGAGCAGCCACATACTGCGGGCTTTGACCCAGAGGCCCCTGGACACCACATTCTCTCATGCACTCAGGGCTTGCACAGAATCAAATGGAGAGTGACTATAATTACCCATGGGAACAATGGTGTTCGGAGGGGAGCAGTTCCTGCCCGTCTGAGCTCTGAACCCCTCTGGTGCCCTTGGACAGGGAAACAGCCGGGCTGCGGAGAAGTGGGCCCAGCCTGCCTGTACCTCACCTCCCTGTCTGGTCGCATGCATGCAGGGGAGCCAAGGCTAACCCAGACGGGGGCACCCTCTTATACACACTGCCTGATGACTCAACATGCCAGCTGCTCCAGACCCATCAGGACCGCCCCCACCTCCAGGAGAAGCCTGCTGCTGCCAGCCAGTCAGGAAGGAGGGGTGTGCCCCAGAACCCTGGGCTGGAAGCAACGTGGGACCCTCTTTTTCACCCAGGTCAGTGCCTGGGGCAGAGCAGGAAACTGAACGGTCTGGGGATGACATAAGGTAGGCTTCCATGACCCAGGAGTGACATAGAGGAGGGAGAGAACAGTCGTTGATGGCAATGCTTTGTAAGGAGCCATCCACGGCATCTACACAGAGGAGACAGGAGGCAAAGGTGTCTGGCCACCTTCCTTCCTGCCTCAAGGCCCAGCAGACCTGCAAGAATGTACCAGTTGGGCCCTTCTCCAGCATGGCAAGCTGTATCCTCAAAGGCTAAGAGTAAAGGACACTGCCATTTTAGAGAAAGAAGTCCTTTGGGTGCTGCATTCCAAGGCCATTCACCAATTCTTACCGCCTCTCATTGCATTAAGAGGTGTTTTCTAATCACTCTGAAACACCTTGCTCTGTTGGGTCTTGTCTCTTAATTAAGGACTAAGGTTACATCAGTCACTAAAGTGCCAAGTTCTCACAAACTTCATCATCATAACTCTGTGCTTCCACAGAACTTTTCCTCCAAGGGACCCAATGCACGCCAGCCCCGTCCCACCGTCCTCCTTGTACGGAAGTCGGTGCATACTTGGTTGGGCTCAGGCTGGCTCAGAGGGAGGCATGGCTGATGTTTCTCAGCCTCCGTGACATGGATGTAGGTCCGTATGCAGATCCTCAGGCCTGCCTCTGGGAGCTGAAATTCTAAAAGACAGATACCCCCTAGAGCCAGACCCAGCATCATGAAAGCCAGACTACTTCATTTGGGGAAATGAACTGTGTGTGAGTGGGGTGATCATACCAGAAGGGTGGACCAGCACCCCAAATCTGGAAGGAGCAGGGCTTTCTTCCACACTTCATGGGTTCAGCCCTGGAGTACAGGCTAAGTGCTTGAGAATCACCATGGTCCCACCACTGAAATGTGTAGGTGGGATGTGGGTTATAAGTGGCCTACCCCATGTCTGTGAGAGACCTTAGAGGGAGCATAGATCACCTTGTCGTGGCTGTAGGTTTCTCTCTCTCTTTTAGGACCCGTGTAACCAGCTCCCATCACAGACAGAGACTGACCCAGTACCACTGAGCATTCGTTATTGGTCAGTCTGGATTTTAACGTGTCCCACTTTTCTCTCCCCCCAGGTCCCCCGTGCTGCTTGGGCCTTGTCCCGGTTGAAGAAGTGGACAGTCCTGACTCCTGCCACGTGGGTGGAGAGTGGTGTCCCCAGCACCCCACGGGGGCCTACACAGGACAGGAGCTTGGGCTGCGGCTCTCCCCCAGCCCACCAGTGCACGTGTCTTTCGAAACACCACCTCCCACAATTTAGGCAGCAGCCAATATTCCAGAAAGACTATATATATTGTCGTTTTTAAAAAGAGAGACAGAGAGAATTGGTATTTATTTTTCTATAATAGCCATATTTATATATTTATACACTTGTAAATAAATGTGTATGTGTTTTTATAATTCTGGAGAGACATAGGGGAATCCTACCCGTGGCGGTGTGAGAGGAAAAACAAGCTACAACATAACAGGAGTCAACCAGGAAAGCGGAACAGAGACTGGCCAGAACAGCCTGAGGAGGCGGCAGGAGGCCCACAGAGCAGCTGCTGAAGGGAGGAACCCTAGGCACACTGTCCGTGATGACATGAGAGAACAGCAAGGGTCGTGGTATTATAACAGGCTGGAGACACCTGTGAAGATGGTCGGACCTGGTGCTACAGGAAATGTTTTCAGGAGATGCCCGTGAGAATAGACTCAGATGTGTACAGTACTATAAGCATTAACAAACCTTCCAGAATCAATAATCTGTGGCAGCATATCTCTAAAAACAAACACTGTAACTTCTAAATAAATGTTTAGTCTTCCCTGTAACCTTCAGCTTAGTCATGTATGAGTCAGCGTTCTCCTTAGAGGTTAGGATTCAGTCTTTGAGTATCTGAAGAAAATACCCACTTGTGAGATTTTCAGATCCAGCAAGAGATCTGGAAAAGGTAGCAGATGTTTCTCATTTTTTTGTCTTTGTAAATATTGAATGAATGTCCGTTGTGTTTTTGCTCATGCAGAATGCGTTAATAACTGTTTAGTCCAAAAGGGAGACAGTATACAGTAGGCAAAGAGATGCAGAGTCACAGTTCTCTTACTGACTGGACTAAAATGTTGGTCATATCGAAGGGATGAAATGAATCCTTTCTATAGAGGGGTATGTATGTGTTGCAGTCCAAGTATTTTCTCCATTTAGTTAAGTGTTATGCTACATGCGGTAAATGCCTGATAAAATTCACTTCCCATCTTTCCAAGGACACACCAACATTGCCAGTGGAGCTGACGCACTAGTTGTTTAAAATCAGCATTTACTTAGAGCTTGCTGTGCAATCACAGGATCCACCTTCATACGTGGAACTAGATCTAGATGGAAGCGGACTTGCAATGTAATAGCTTCTAGATTGCAGTCAAGTTACAGATGAAATGCCACTTGAGACACTTAATCTCATTAAGAGTCATTGTGCCAGGCCCTGGCGTCTCACTCTTGTCATGAATTGGATCACCAAGGTCCTAGGAAAGCCCAGGAGTAACGCTACCGGTCTAGGACAAGTGCGCCCTCTGCTGGCCAGAAGAAATACAGCGCCAGCTCTTAGACAACATCTTTTCCCATCCAGCAACAGCTAGCTAAATTGGAAAAACTCTCATGGAGACGCAACATGATTTTCAGATAAACTATTTTAAAAACATTTTAAGAAATAAAACGAAGGTCTATAACTAACATGGAAATGATAAGAAGGGAGAAGTAGAGCAGGTAGGAGAAGTGAAATGTGACTACAGACACAACCAGGCAGAGTGCCTAATCTTCCCAGGACGGGTCAGAGCTAGCGTACTCAAGCCTGACTTAACTAATGCAGGGGACCCTCATATCTGGGCTGTAACTCACGTTTGGGCCCACTGGCTTAAAAAAAAATAGTGGGACAGGATTATCATGCTTTCAGTGACAGTTTTTCTTGCCAATGGCAAAACATTCAGATGACCAAACAAATTTCCTAACCCAGGACATAAAGCTGCTTTCTTGCAGTTTGAGATACAACTTTCTGAGGCCTTACATTCAATCCACTTGGTTCCAGACAGACCTAAAATGATTCAGTTCAATAATAAATAGATGTTGGGTGCTGTAGTCAGTTCTAAGATAACCAAAAAGTATTAAAATTACATGACTGGATCTTGTTTTAGACTTTTAGATAAGCTCACTTTAAAATAACAGGATTGTTACAGAAAGACAATGAAACAACTTCTGGTGAATTTTATGTCAGAAATCTTGGATGGATTTGAGAAAAAAAGCAAACTTAAAAGGTCCAGGGGCTTCACCTGTTCTCATGTGGAGGCTGAATGGGTGGGAGGATAAGCCCACCTTTCTTCCGCAAAACAGCAATCTCTTCCTTTAAGGCCATAATCCTTTCTGCCTGGAGTTGGATTAACTCAGTGACCTTCTCTCTTGCCACAATATCTGCTCTCCGAAGGCCCTGGAAGGCATTGCCCTGTTGAAAGAAAACACCTCTGTACTTTAACCATCAGGTGGAATGTGAAAATGTCCCTGTCATATATCTGTTAGGAGTGCCTGCCTTACAGTCAATTTAAATAACCATTGTTCTTTATTTTAAGGGACTTTCATTCTTCCACTGACATCCTACTATTGGAAATGTGTCCTTTTGGGCTAATGAACAACTCTTAAATTGCAAATCCTCTTTAGATGGGTAACTCATTAAGCTATCAGTCATTCATACCCTAGAGGGCTCATCATAAAAGACAAGATTCCTCCTTTTTCTAGACAGCCCATAGTCATATTTTATTACCCAAAGAGGAAAACTTTATTTCTTTCCCTGTCCAGCCAACTCCTGCTCATGCTACAGACATCACTTTTCGGGAGGGCTTCTTTGCCCCACGGACTAGACTAAGAAGTTCTGCTATGTGTTTTATCAAAACAGGCATGATACATCCTTATAATTATCATAGTGAACCATTTGAAATTTATATTTGACCATTTTAAACCTAAAAAAGTGACAGTTTGTTATGGTTCAACCTAAATGTTGGTTTGATATGTCTTTCTTATGAGATCCTGTGCCTCTTAGATATAGGGCCCAGTGTGTCTGGATCTCACACTCTATCCAGCACTCACCCTGCAGCGCATTACATAGATGCTCAATAGAATTTGAATGCACATTAAAGGAAGGGACATGCCACCTATCTAGTATCTACTCTACACCAAGTGATTCACGTATGCATGTATGCTGTCTCATTTCATCCTCATAACATCTCTGAACTAGATGGGTTATTCCAATTTTACAGATACAGAAACTGAGACTGAGAAATTCATGAACTAGCCCAAGTCATTATATTATTAAGGATTAAAAGCTGAGTTAGAACCAGGTTACCTGAAGCCAAAAGTCCGTGGTTAGTCCATCACCTTCACTGGCAGACCTTCATAGTGAGAAGGGGGTACCACTACCCAATAGCTTCTGCCTCTTCTCCCTTGCCTGCCTTCACTTCAGACTCTTCTCCCTTGCCTGCCTTCACTTCAGAGGCTCTGAAAGCTAAACATTAACTTTACCCAGTTTCTTTTCCAACTAGGGGTAGCTAAGTGAATATAAGCAGAAAACTTTTGCTTTTTAAATGAAAGGGACAGAAGAGGCTGGCACATGGATGTGAAACAGAGCTGAGGCGGTCATCTTGTGACTTTGAAGGAAAGTTCAAAGAATCAGAATCACAGAGATACTGGCCCCTGACATCATGGGTCCATTAAACTAAAACCCCTTAGTCATCTCCTCCAGACTGCTTGTTAAGTGAGAAAAATGACCCCTATTTGTTTAAGCTACTTTCAGTGGATGGAAGTAGACAGACCTCGGTTTAAAAGCTTACTTCCCCATGCATTAGCTCTGAGAGCTTGAGCAAGTTATTTAACTACTCTGAGCTTTGTAAAGTAGTATTTTGAGGATTAAATGAGATACCCTATGTAAAGAGACTATACATGTAAAAACATACTGTAAAGATATACTATGTAAGCAGACATATACTATTTATTTTTCCATTCAACTGATCTCCTACGTCCAAACTCTTTTCAGTATATGTGGACTTACCAAAGCACATTAAGTCAACAAACGTTTACTGACTGCTTACTCTGGGAAGATTTTGTTTAGCCATTAACTTTCTCGAACACTGCCTCTTGATTCTCTGCTTAAAAATGCTTCAGTGAAGAAAGGGCCCTTGATATTTAGATTCTAGTTTTCCTCTCATATCTAATCTCCAATTAGAAGCCTCCCAAATCCTCTTATTTATTCTCCCTGGAATAAATTATATTCTTTCCTTCTTGTGGACTTTTGCTAAGACCAGTGATTTTTAAACTCTACCATGCATCAGAATCACCTGGAAGGCTTGTTAAGCTGTTACCCACCGGCTTCTGATTCAGTACATCTGGATTGGATCCCAAGAATTTGCATCTCTAACAATGTCCCCAGGTGATGCTGTTGCTGTTACTCAGGGGACCACACTAAGAACTCCCAAACTCGACCATTTCCAGGGAGCTTAAAGAAAACATGAAGAAAACCAAGAGAAACAAAAAACTGGCATTTCTGCAGCTATTGTAAGAATGATATATAGTTTACAATATGTGTCAGGTTTCTAGAGGGCAAGGCTTGAATAGGGTAAGTCTTTATTAAATAAGTAGTATCCACCACATAGTAAGGACTGCTGTGTTAGTTTCAATAAATAGATAAGAACAAATTGAAAGCCATCAGAAGTAACACATGTTTTAGTAAGGGAATATGTGAGATCCCACAATTCAAAATGCCCACTTTAGGCTAAATGAAATACATATATATTGGAAATGGATGTTTGACACCAAATTCAGGGAGTATATCATTAGTATCATTATTTATACCTAAATAACCTTTCCTCTCCAGGGCCAAGGTAAACCCCACCCCGCAGATTAGTACTTATGGAAATTCATGGCACCCAAGAGGCATACAATAAAACTAGTCCCTCAGGCTTATTGTAATGTAGCCAATATTCACTCAATGTCATCAGGGACCCAGGTGGGCCAGAAGTGGCCCAAGATCAAGGCTTGTTTTAATGCCAGCACTTGACAATCTTATGAATAGCTACCTTTACAGAGCTTCCCCAGTTCTAACAGAGGGTCTGAAGAAAAGAAGCGTACCTGCTGGTTCTGTAGGGTGTTCAACTGAGAATCAAGTTTCTTCTTTTCAACACATAAATCATTCATCTGGTGAAGCTTTCTGGTGTGTTCTTTTGTCTTCATCATTAGTTCCCATCGCACTTGAGCAATCTTTTCCTACAAGGGCAGAAAGATTCAAAATAGATTAAGTGAACGAGAGGACATAGAAAAACAGGAATGTCCATATTTGATTAAAACCATCAGGCAAATGTAGTGATAAGCACATAGCAAACTATAATCACAAGCCAATATGAAAATGCAACCAGAAGCAATTGCGTTTGGTCTGGTTTGACGAGAGAAAAGAGAAGGATGCAAGTATGCTCAACGATAACAGTAGGTAAAAATAAGATAGGCACAGATATCACTCCATCATTGGGGAATGAAATTAGTGTGCAGACTGAGTACTACTATTTATTAAAAGGGAGAATGATCATTTAAGTGGGAAACTTTCTTTTCTTTCTTTTTTATTTTTTTAAAGATTTTATTGGGGAATTGGGGAAGGGGAACAAAGTTGGGGAATTGGGGAAGGAGAACAGCCAAATTGTTGTCCTTCATTCTTAGTTGTGGTGGGTGCAGCTAGCTCAGCTCCAAGTCCAGTCACCATCCAGCCGCCCATCGGCAGCTCGTGGCCACTCAGCTCAAGGTGCCGTGTTCAATTTTAGTTGCGGGTGGGCATAGCCCACCATCCCATGCGGGAGTCGAACCGGCAACCTTGTTGTTAGGAGCACGTGCTACACCACCCTGCCACCTTGAGAAACTTTCATATATTGTTCTTTCCGCCGTCTTCACCCAGAATCCCAAAACTACTTGAATGGTCATACATTTGCTAGTGGCTTTCCTTTGTTCTCTTATGTTCCAACAAATTATTTTCTTTTTTAAAAATTTTATTTATTTATTTATTTTTTTTATTGTTAGTTTCAGGTGTACAGAACAATACAATAGTTACCCTTTTCACCCTCACCAGGTAACTAACCCCCTCCCCCCATCTATTGCCCTCCCACCCCCGATATCATGCTTATCTATTACAATTCCATTGAATCCGTTCCCACTCTCTACTCCATGTCCAACAAATTATTTTAGATTGCACATATTATCTCCAGCATTCCCCTGATAGAGACCAGTCCCATTGACATCAACACTTAAGTTATTTGCTTCTTCACAGCAGAGTAGCAAATCTTGGGCAAGAAAAGATGAGACAAGAGAGCACTAGGAACCGCTCCTCCTTCCCTATCTATTGATGAGATAAGACACAATGGTTTGTGGGCTTATATTATACAATCTTTATAAAAGCTCCTGTCTTTGAATCAGGCTGTACCTGGGGCACTGCCTCATGTCAGGGCTCCAGGAACTTCTTCTAAGACCCTCCCAGCTAAATGGTCCATACCTTGTTATAAAATTTATTACTTAGAGATATTTTCTAATTTCCAGATGATAACAGCATGCAAAAGCTATATAGAAAAATACAATTAGGACCCTCAGAGTAGAGCGGTTCCATTTCTAATAATTGTTAGAGCATTTATACATTAATATAGACCTCGAAGTGAAATCTCTCTGTCGTCTTTCATGCCATGTTGCCATCATATTTACATGCATCCTAAATCCCAAACCCCAATGCTGGTGCTTTCCCCCCAAGGTAGACAAGTCTCTCCAACTAAGC